AGTACATGACCAGGCCCGTCTGAAGTTTGCTAGAGTGCATTTGGATGATCCAGAAGAGGATTGGGAGAATGTCATATGGTCAGATGAAACCAAAATAGAACTTTTTGGTAAAAACTCAACTCGTCGTGTTTGGAGGACAAAGAATGCTGAGTTGCATCCAAAGAACACCATACCTATTGTGAAGCATGGGGGTGGAAACATCATGCTTTGGGGCTGTTTTTCTGCAAAGGGACCAGGACGACTGATCCGTGTAAAGGAAAGAATGAATGAGGCCATGTATCGTGAGATTTTGAGTGAAAACCTCCTTCCATTAGCAAGTGCATTGAAGATGAAACGTGTCTGGGTCTTTCAGCATGACAATGATCCCAAACACACCGCCCGGGCAACGAAGGAGTGGCTTCGTAAGAAGCATTTCAAGGTCCTGGAGTGGCCTAGCCAGTCTCCAGATCTCAACCCCATAGAAAATCTTTGGAGGGAGTTGAAAGTCCGTGTTGCCCAGCGACAGCCCCAAAACATCACTGCTGTAGAGGAGATCTGCATGGAGGAATGGGCCAAAATACCAGCAACAGTGTGTGAAAACCTTGTGAAGACTTACAGAAAACGTTTGACCTGTGTCATTGCCAACAAAGGGTATATAACAAAGTATTGAGAAACTTTTGTTATTGACCAAATACTTATTTTTCACCATAATTTGCAAATAAATTCATTAGAAATCCTACAATGTGATTTTCTGGAAAAAAATTTTCTCATTTTGTCTGTCATAGTTGACATGTACCTATGATGAAAATTACAGGCCTCTCATCTTTTTAAGTGGGAGAACTTGCACAATTGGTGGCTGACTAAATACTTTTTTCCCCCACTGTAGATACTTTTGTACCTGTTTCCTCCAGCATCTTCACAAGGTCCTTTTGCTGTTGTTCTGGGATGGATTTGCACTTTTCGCACCAAAGTACGTTCATCCCTAGGAGACAGAACGCGTCTCCTTCCTGAGCGGTATGAAGGCTGCGTGGTCCCATGGTGTTTATACTTGCGTACTATTGTTTGTACAGATAAACGTGGTACGTTCAGGTGTTTGGAAATTGCTCCCAAGGATGAACCAGACTTGTGGAGGTCTACAAAAAAAATTCTGAGGTCTTGGCTGATTTCATTTGATTTTCCCATGATGTCAAGCAAAGAGGCACTGAGTTTGAAGGTAGGCCTTGAAATACATCCACAGGTACACCTCCAATTGACTCAAATGATGTCAATTAGCCTAGCAGAAGCTTCTAAAGCCATGACATCATTTTCTGGAATTTTAAAGCTGTTTAAAGGCACATTCAACTTCTGACCCACTGGAATTGTGATACAGTGAATTATAAGTGAAATAATATGTCTGTAAACAATTGTTGGAAAAATGACTTGTCATGCACAAAGTAGATGTCCTAACCAACTTGTCAAAACCATAGTTTGTTAACAATAAATTTGTGGAGTGGTTGAAAAAATAGTTTTAATGACGCCAACCTAAGTGTATGTAAACTTCCGACTTCAACTGTACATGACTGCCATACTCAGCCTGTTGCCATAATCTGTTTAATATTGAATTATTGCTGTGCATGTTAAAGTACTGAAAGGTGCATACAGATGTCGGAATTCAGATATGAATCGGCGCAATCTACTTTTTCGGTTTGCTGGCGTCTTGGAGCTGTACAGGGCAGCAGGTAGCCTAGCAGTTAAGAACGTTGGGCCAGTAACCGAAAGGTCGCTGGTTCGAATCCATGAGCCGGCTAGGTGAAAAATCTCTGTGCCCTTGAGCAAGGCACTTAACCCTAATTGCTCCTGTAAGTCACTCTGAATAAATGTAAACTGTGCTAATGCCGATACGAAAAAAAGTATAATGGAGAGCAATGTGTTATACGGCGAACTATGACATTTTTTGGGGGGAATTATATTCTAATATGATGACTTGGTTATGGCTTCATTGGCTAGCTGTTTTAAGTTCTGGTTTGTTTCTAATTTACTTTCTGATAACATCTCATTTATTGCAAGTTAGTGGTGATTTAGTTTAGTCATCTTCTACAACATGGCAGTTAAGAGTTGATTTGTGATGTAGACCCTACAGTCCAGAAATATACAAATGAAATAAGTAATTAAAGTCAAAAACAACAATTCATGTTTATGTTTGTACCCACACAGGCAACAGTATGGTGGTGGGCATGGCTGGGACCGGTCGACGCAGAGAGGAGGCCACGGAGGGGGGCAGGGCCAGGGTGGATACCACCAGCAGCGTGGTCAGGACGACCGCAGAGGAGACCGTGGAGGACAACCGGTAACTACATTATTCAGCTGACTTAATTTAGGACTAACATATGACATCAACAATGAGGAAGATGTGACCTCAACGTCAATGTTCATTTGATCATGGAATAAAGCCTGCGCGAAAGAGACTGCCTGTTTTTGAGTGCACCAACCCCTGTTTATCATGAATTAGGCCTTTTTGAAAATTTTCCTGTATATTAACTATTATTGATGTCAACAATCTCCACCTTACAAGGAGCACGCCTCCAGAACATTAGGAGCACGCCTCCAGAACATTAGGAGCACGCCTCCAAAACATTATGAGCACGCCTCCAGAACATTAGGAGCACATCTTACCTATACTATGCACATGTTTGTTTGCTGATGTTTGTTTATGGCTTTAAGTCATAGCACATTGTATATAATGATTGTGATCAATTATTTTGCATGTGTATGATATATGGCATGGAGACAGAGGGTAACTACTAATTCAGCCTCTCAAAATATACATTAGAAGACTAGTATGAAGCGCACTGTTGAAATGTCTGCCGTCTTTGATCTTCATACTCAAATTTCAGGTGCTGCAAATCTGACTGGTTTGGCTCTTGTTTTCTGTGTTTTACAGGGATACAACTCTGGACGGAATTACCACTTGCCACCCCCAGAAAGAAAATACAATTGGAGTTAAATTCAGACCTAGTATGGCAGAAGGGAAATGTTGTTTTTTTCGCTATACTTGTCTTTTTCAGGCTGTGTACTTGTAAGATGTTTTTACTTTTTAATTCTACCTAAAATGTTCTTATGTAATGAATTTTTAAGAATACCTGTAAAACTTGTGTAATACAAGTCAGTCAAGACAATTGTCATTGTTAGTTTGTTTGGAAAGATTTGCTCCATATTTCACATAATATTTCACAGCATACAAGTTACTCTATTTTCTGAAATAAAACCAAATTCAGCTTTTTGCATCACATCTACATCTTTGGTTTTTAGAATGACATTTCTGCTGATGTCTGGAACTGTTTGTAAACTCAAAATGCCTAAATCATTTAGGAGTTAATTACACTTTTTAGATGGATTTATTTTGTTTTTTTGTCAACATAATTATTTAGTCATTAATGTAGATCTGCAAACTCAACAGCAGTTGTATCAGGCCTTTGTTTTTGAGGCGTAACGTCATTATCCGATATCATCCTATTTTATCTCCTATCTTGTTTTATTAAATCGCCATGGTCCATTTTCATAGGTAGATGAATGGCTGAACGGTATTTTAGGGGGCAGGTAGCACAATCAACTTTTTCGTTTTGTTGGTGTCTTGGCGCTGAAACTGGGATCATGCCGTACATGGCGGCAGGTAGCCTAGTGTTAGAGCGTTGGGCCAGTAACCGAAAGGTCGCTTGTTTGAATCCCCGAGCTGACAAGGTGAAAAATCTGTTGATAGTCCTTGAGCAAGGCAGTTAATCCTAATCACTCCAGGGTCGCCATTGATCATGGCAAACCGTGGCCTTCACCCACTGTCTGAAGATGTCTCGGGGAGTTGGGATATGCAAAAATCACATTTCCAATTTACACATGCAATAATATACACTTGTGCATGTGTGAAATAGGACCCACCAAAATTATTTTAATAATAATGTCTCAATTATGTGCCAATTCCTTTTATTTAATTTAGGTCATATTATCAAGTAGGCTAATTTAGCCTATCACATTAATTTGCATTTTTGCTAGCCTGTATTTCAAAATCACGAAGAACCCAGGAATAACAAAGAAATTATTTATTGGAAATGACAATCAGAAACAATTGGTGCAGTTACAGTTGGGCAATTTGAACCTTTCAGCACCTGATAATAGACCTTATATTTCTTGCCCAATCAGTAGCGTAACTGGTCCAATTAAATCTCCTGTAAACAGTCTTGCATTTTAGGACTTTATTATGATGCATGGACTAGGTCCTTAAATGTTATTCTCCACTTCACCAGGCTGGCTTGTAATGGCAGAAAATATTGGAATTTACATTTATTTAATCTGTTTTCTTTCAATAATTGGGTGATGGTAATAAGAAATAAACAAATTATAACATTGCTATAATGTAAAGTACAATATCATTGGAATATTTTCATTACATTAGACCTGTTTTGAAATCATTGTGCTATACCTGTGAAATTTGATGCATTCCAGTCAATGTGCCTCATAATTATTCCATCAACATGAATAAGCAGTAATGCTTACATGCCAAGCGATGTATTGTTAAAGTTTAACAGGAATGTGATTTGTATATATTTACGCTATGCAGCAGCAATCACATTTTGTAATTTACGAAAACAATTATTGAACAAATATTTTGTTTAAAAACAAAAATCATAGTCACATGAAATATTTGTTAGCAATATACAGTTAAGGTTCATTAATCGAAATATTACAATACTTCGGACTGATACCCTCATGTGTCCTTAAAGAATTGAATCCCAACAAATATAACTTCACTCTCTTTTACACCCGAATAATACCGTCACCCAGTGCTTGGGAGTCTCATTTTTTATCAAATACTCTTGATCAAAAGTATACACGCACGGTCGACTGTTTCTTAATAGGTGCACCATGCACCTCCAAAATGTCAAGAAATTCTGGTGCTTCTGTTATACTCGATGTCACCAACGACCACTGTCCTTCTGGCTTAAAATCCTCTTGATGTTATCTCCCGAATTTAAAATGTAAATGTCTTCCTTCTACCAAGTTCTGCCATAAAGCAGGTTTGAACTGATCATGTTATTGGTGTACTCGAGGAGAGCCGCTTCTGTCTGAGCCATGTTAATCTGGCTGTGTAGAATAGGGGGACTGGGGGACATTTCCTCCAGTTCTTCAGCAGTGGTTAACGGATGATGCACCAGCTGATTCTGATGGTGATTGACCACCGCACTTCCCGAAGCTGTCATCGCCCCACTAGAGATGTTCTGCTGCTGCACCTGCTGATGCCCAGACGTCGGTGTGCTGGATCCGTTCTGATGGGGCTTGCCATCCTTCACGAGAACCGGGACTGCCACCCGCCTCGGTGACTGTTGCTGTGGGCACACGTTGCCATTCTCCTGTTGAATCTGCTGTGTGGCTTTGTCCTTCGCCTGGCGTTTCATTTTGTACCGGTGGTTCTGGAACCAAATCTTGACCTGGGTCGGTGACAGGTGGATCATGCTCGCCAGGTGTTCCCTCTCGGGTGCTGACAGGTATTTCTGCTGCTTAAAGCGCCTCTCCAGCTCGTACACCTGGGCTTGAGAGAACAGCACCCGTCGTTTTCTCCTGGGCGCAGAGTGTAGGGTCACCATTGATTTGGTTGCGTCCATCCCTGCCAAGGACCCCATCCCGGTCATGTTCATCCCAGTGGAAGCCCCCATGAATCTAGAAACTTTGCAATAGCGCACAGATACAGGCTGTTAAATAAATTCATATTAGATACAGGCTAAGTTAAGTGTTGTGCATCATGCACCATTACAATGTGTAGTTTGCATTCATTTTACATTCTTATTGAAAACGAATAGTCTTTGGCATTTATTTTTAAAGAAACAAGACTAAGCTTTTTCAACTTACTTGTTGGATAGCGGGGTTCAGGGTTTGCGCTATACCATGCAGTTGCTGCTGCGCCGTTCCTCATGGTGTCTTGGTACGACGGGAGGTCTCCCATATTACCGATGCTGCCGTTGCAGTATCCACCCATGGCGCTGGAAAATTGGGAGACGCTGTGTGGCATGTGATAAGCGCTCGCCACCCCGGTGTTATGGCCCATGGAGTGCTGCTGCAGTCCCGGTTGAGACACCGGAGTCTGTCGATATGCGCCCAGTGGAGACGCGAGGTTCCCTGTACTGTCCATTCCTCCAAACTTTCTGTAGGTCTCCTCGATCGGGCTTAAAATATCTGTCACTGAGAAAGGAGTTGAGTGCTTTGGGCTCAAGGACATGGTTTAGCCCGCAGGTGAATATGGCTGAATTCGGAACAAGTCCGACTGTTGTGCTGTTCACAGGACACCTACGTAAGAGAGTACTTGTGGGTCCGTCTGAGATATCCAATTGATCGCCTTGGAGAAGGGAAGCCTTGGACGCTCTTATCTTGTTTACTCTAGCCAGGCGCCAGGTTTACAACAAACACGAGGGGCGGAGCAACGAGCCTAACGATCCAACAATGGCCATTGACATTTTACCGGGGTAATTGAGGAAAATGTTACTTTTTAGTTAAGATCAGCGAGATGCCATCTAGATGGTTTAAATTTTAAACGTCAACTTCATAAATACCTCGGATATGGACCTGATTTGAAACGTATTTTAAAAGTTTATTTGGTCTCATAGGCTATAGTTTTGTTGAATTTAGGTAAAGCTGTTGCCATAGCCTAATGAAATGGCAACCTTTTTATTAACTCGAGAGCTCTTGGAGCAGACACGAGAGACGGAGAATCGGGCACAAAAATGAAGACACTTCAGTTCATCCAACCTGTCACATTCTGATCATTTTGCATTTACTTGTGTGTGATTTCTCCTGTTGACAAATGGGTGCGTTAACCTATATCGTTTTTATAAGCTGTTATTATAATGTATTTTTGCTTCTTTACTACATTTCATTCAGATAATACTCAATAAAATGGATGAATATTCTTAAATATGTAGATGCATTATAAAGTACATATTATAAAGGCTTAAACCCCAAATAGGTCAAAATCGTATAGAAATGTATTGGATGAATATTCTTAAATATGTAGATGTGAAGGAAAAAAAACATATAGCCTACCTGTTTTATTTTCCAGTGACATTTTGTGTTCACTGCGGTTAATGAGTCACTCATTGGAAGACAGACAAATTCCACTTGTTGACTTGTATTCCAGTCACCCTGGTACTTTTATAATTTGCAATTAGCCTACATTTACTTTTGGACAGCTCACAGATAGATTAACTTTTATAGCACAATATCCTCCTAGAACGCAAAAATTGCAGGGATTCAATGCCAATCCAGTCGTTGATGTGAACGAGATTCATCAAAGACAAATGTGTATTAAATCCTTATATATTCTAAAACAAAATGATGGATCACCAGTAGCATGCTAATTTTGTTAACTCATTGTTGTCATTTAGACTTTGATCTATAATAGTAATTCTATCTCGGGTAGACGATTTAGAGTTCACCTGCTTTAACTCATTGAATGCTTCAGAGGTAGGCTATGCGAGTAGGCTAATCTGAACAGTTGAAAAGGGTAATGGTGATTTGACTTTCACTATAAAACTGCCTAAATCCTTTTACCTCGAATGTCTTTGGGGTAGGCTATTGACTTGATAACAGGTGAATTGATTTCAGTTAAATGAAATGTCCCTTAACTTCACCCAATTTTCAATTTTTTCAATCTTTATAAAAAATGATGTAAAACTTCATAGATCATTTCTAAATCCGTGCACATAGCAGTAAAGTCCCTGTAGCAGAAAGAGATTGCAAGGCCGGAGAATGGCAAGTGCTGAAGCAGAGTCATGTTTGCTCGGTACGCACTGGCCTATTGAAACATGTTCTTGTTTATTCCTTACGCATGGTTTTGGTTTTGTGAATTTTCCAATTAAAAAAACGTTTTCTTGATAAATGTCATTTTCTCTGTCTTGTCGAATAATTCTGGTTCAATTAATATTAATTTCGATAACATTGTTCCTAATTGTGCTCAGGCCTGCATCAAGGTTTGCCTCGCACAATTGTAGCATAAATCTCATTAAAATGAACAGATTGGATAAATAATTTTATGTGTAGGCTATGCACCTATGCATTGTTCATAATAAACCAATTGTACTGTGATGGCTACCAGAAGTAGCCTTATTACCGCAGAAACCCATCACCGTGCAGTGTGTTTCTGTATGCAAATAACCAAACCTCTCGACCTCGTGGACCTTTCAGTCAGAGGGTATGGCTAGGGGCCACCGCACTCTCGTTACTTTCATTCCAACCTGCGCGCTCCTATTATCATGGCTCCATAGAGAAGCATTCGGTAACGACAAAAAATATAATAATGACTTCGGTATTTACATTAAAACGTGCATTTATAGGGACTATCAATTCATATGCCTATTCACACAAAACATTTTGAATAGCCTATCGCATGTGCTGGATTACAGCAGGTGAAAAAAATGAATATTTTCAGGTCGGGTCCATTGAATTGCAGGTAAATAGTTTTTTGTCTTAATCATGTTTCTATTGACTGGTAAAACGTTTTATTATGAATACCTGATCAATATTAATTAAACCTGTCAAATTAGACTGCAATTATTATGATAGATTGGTGTTCCATAACCTAATCGTTTGTGTGGCTATTATTAATAGAAAACCGATAGAATATTGAGCTAATTATGGTGTAGCAAGTGGGCTATATTCTTGACATATTATTAAGTAACAGCATCCTATGAAGCAAAAGTCTTAAACCCAAAATAGGTCAAAATCGTATAGAAATGTATTGTAGTGTTATTACATAATTAGGCTACATCGTTTACCATAATATAGCCCATAGACTACCTTTGGCCTATATAGGCCTATTACTTACGTGGAATTTTCAAATTATTAAACAATCCAAACAATGTTCTAGGCAATTGTTAATACTGTTTTGGCCTGTAGCTAGTACATTCAATGTCACTTTTGATTAGATGCATCAACATTTGATGTAAATAGTTTGTTTCATCATAACTAATATAGCACAAAACACAACATACATTTTGATTGGAAAAGAAAATAAGAGACTCTAGCACTAAGCAGAACACTGAACCCCACAATGACAGGCCATTTTTTTACATCATTTTTGCTTCCCAGCAATGACAGATTCTCTTGGTGACCAAAATTAACCAAATTGCGACTTATTGTGAATTCTAAATGATATTTGAATTGTGTTAAATGTTAATATTCTATTTATTAGCTCTATATAATAATTGTGCATCACCTATCCCCCATAAAAGTACACCCTATACATGTTTTATGGGGGTATACATGCATCTCAAATATTTTGAGATAAACAAAAAACGAATGCAATTATTTTGAGGTTGTATTTGAAAATACTCCTATGTCTTGGAGTAGAGGGATGGTATATTTGCCATCAATGGGGCACTTGGTGCATTTCGGCATCACTGGCTCAATAACATGAGAGATTTTGAGAGGTCAGTAAAGGGTTTGTGCGCTTAGAGTCAAGGCCGGGTCCTGAACCGTTCCTGCTAATACACCGGAGATGTAAGTGAAGCAAATGAGCTTGTGCGGAGTTCGTGCTTGTTAGCTAACCCAATTCAACTAAACGAAAAGCTATGATCTCAACTTTCATGTCACGGCGAGGGCAACAAGAAATAAACAAGATGGATGGAAATTATTTACCGAAGTATATTTTGAAACCTACAGGGTTCGACGGTTTCAGAATGTTGCGGGACAATTGTCGCCTATTCGTTTTCCTGCAGAATAGTCCTATTTCCAAGACAAAGGGCAGCTATATTAAGTAATACAGCTCTGCCACAAACTAGTAATCTTATCGAATCGTGTTGGGACGTCATTCCTTGTGCACGAGTCGAACCTGTATGCTAGCTTTCTTTGTTTAGTCAATACCTAACGAACGATTAGTTCATTTCAATTACACCAAACCCCCTGGGTATTTGCTCAACCGAGGGCCTAGAGGCTATGTTTGCCGACGACACTGTCTGACAATATTGTAAATACTGACAATATGTTTCACAGGAGGAGAGGTCAGATTTAAATATTAGGTTCCACGGCAGGTGCACGGTGGCTTCTCTTGTAGGTAGGTAATCTATGCCCTATCAAAGATGCCTTTTGGGGCATGCACGAGCAAAATCTCGTTGGTGGTCTATAGAGCATTGTAGCCTAAATTCATAAATCAAGAATTGGAATAGGAATTGACTTGATACAGTTGTGAAATTAGTAAAGTCTACTGAATGTAATCTTAATTTTGACATTCAGGAGAAATGTCATGGCACGATGAAATGTCAGGCCTAGTCATTTATGCTTTGCAATCAAATGTAACCTGTCACCAAAGACCCCCTCTTTACCTGAGAAAACAAGTTAGAATTACTTACAGCAGTGCACCAAAATCATAAGTGGATAGGCCTATAATTTGAAATTCAATTTAATTATGTATATAATAGTATTATTTTAACTTATATTTATAGGCTATATAATAAGCTACCACACCAATATTTTGTAATATGTTTAATTGATGTAATCGAAGCACTTGGGTAACGTGTAAAGAGCATTTTAAGCATTGGAAGCATTTTTAAGAAAACGTTGGATTATAGACAAAATCGCCTACTGTGTGCCATCTTTCCGGAAATTCAAGCGGCATCTATTGTGTAGACTGTGTACTTTATGCTATAGCATATACTTACTACTTTAAGGCGAATTATAGGTGAAATATAGACTTATTATTATAAGTATAATAGCAGCTTTTTCTCAAGCTTTCGCCTCACGCAGGGCTTTCATTTATTGCTTTACTGTATTTAGATTTTGCCAATGTGTATTTTATGATTGACCCTTTTCTTAATTGCAGAATTTTGGGGGGCAGATTATTGTACCAAACTGTTAAATGTTTTGCATGCAGTTGTCTAGGTACGTGGGACTACATTGTACAGATATCCTGAGTTGCAGAGATAAACAACCATCCAAGTGATAAAAGTGTGAGCTCAAGACCCTGTCATCCACTCCAGTGTTCTTTGTCTTTCAATTAATGTTTCTTAGGGAATGAAATGCTAATATGTTGGGGACTGGGGCTTTAGCATTGGACTCTGCAGTAGGCTATATTGTCCAAGTGTGGACAACTGTATTGATTAAAAGTGCAATCAAAGGATGACATCAGCAGCCGATGTGATCAAATCAATTATCGTATATAATAATTTAGAGTTGAGTGGTATTTCTATAGTAGTAGCAGAAATATAAATAGATAGACCTACCCCAAGA